TTTTAGTTCAGTCAGCATGCTTAACCCCTGTTAAGGCTGGAACTGGGCAGAAGGGAGACCTTGTGGAGGATTATTTTTATTTTTTAACTGTGTGATTGTGTGTGTGTGTGTGTGTGCAGCTGTGAGGGCAGTTACTTGTGGAGTCCAGAAGAGGGTGATGGAGCTACAGGTGGTTCTAAGCCTCCTTGCATGAGTGCTAGGAACCAGATTCAGAGGCTGAGGTATCTCTCCAGCCCCAAGAAGACCTTTAAAGAGTCAGATTTCACTGCTGTCGAGTTACTTACCCCAGGTCACATAACTAGGGAGTGGGAGGGCCAGATCCAAATACTGGTGGTCTGACCCGAAGGTCCTGGCCTAACCAGCATACCACACTGCCTTATGGCCTTCCTCATGCTTTTATGGGTCGGGCAACATATTAGTGGTGTTTATGTTGCTGAGATCAAAATACCTGACATGACTGCTTAAGAGAAGAAGGGTTTATTTTGGCCCATGATTTTAGAGAGTTTCAGCCCTTGTGGCCGGAAACAGATGGCAGAGCAGTTCAAGTTCACAGCAACTAGAGTGTATGGGGGAGGCTATTTTCACATCATGTTGAAAGAGAATTGAAGTATAAACCAGAAACTAAGGGATGGGTCTAACCATAAAGTCTCACCCCTACTGGCCTTCTTCTGCCCGCTTGTTTCCACAGCCTCCCAAAACTGCACAACTAGCTGGAAATCTAAACATGAGCGTATGGGCACAGCCTACACTCAGGCCATCCCAGGTATGGATGAGCATTAATCCAAGAATGCATAGGGCCACGCACTTTTAGGAAGGGCTGCAAGCGCCATGACTGGGAGGAGGGGACCTGTGTCTTGAGGCACTATGAGGAACACCCCTGTCGACAGAGCACAGCACTCACCCTCTATTCCTGACGTCTGTCTTATAGCAAGGGTGTCAAGAACAGGGAACAGTGTTCTTGCCATAATCTGGGCACACCGACTTGCCACATGTTGAGTTTGAAGGAAGGTCCCCAGCCCCAAGAAACAAAGAAGAGATAAAGAGTTAGGTAACAGGTTAGAGAGACAGTTTGATTGGTAAAGTGCTTGCTAAGCAAGCATGAGGATCTAAATTTGCTGGCCAGACAGTCTAGGCAATCGGTGAGCACTCGGTTCAGTGAGAAATCATATTTTAAAAGATAAGGTACACGGGAGCTAGAGAGATGGCTCATCAGTTTCAAGTACTCAGTGCTTCTGCAAAGTACCTAAAGTCAGTTCCCAGCACCCACCACACATATATGGTGGAGTGATAGCTCAATGGTTAAGAGCATTGGTTGGTCTTGGTCTTCCAGGGACCTAGGATTCAATTTCCAGCACCCACATGACAGCTCGCAACTGTCTGTAGCTCCAATTCCAGGGTGTCCCATTCCCTCTTCTGGCCTCCATGGGAGCTGCATGCACACGGTGAACAGACATACATGCAGGTGAAAGGCCCATGCACATAAAATACAATAAATAAAACCTGAAAGGAAAAAAAAAAAAAAAGGGAAGGTGGAGAATGATCGAGGAAGACACCTGATGTTGACCTCTGGCCTCTGCATACACCAACACATGTGCACCACCATCATGCATGCACACACACATATATCACACACACATACATGCATGGCAAGGCGGAGGGCCCCTGAACAACAGCTGAGGTGTCCCCTGGTTTCTACACACGTGCACATTTACAACTGCATACACGCCTGCACACACACACACTCAAAACGCAGACTTCTAAGCGTCAGCCTTTTCCCACTCTGGACTTGGGGTCTCTTTTCCTCAATATGCAGCAGCTATCAACTTTTTTTCCATTTTTTTCCCTGTGGAAGAAGCTGCTTTTGTGAAGATTTACTAAGTGCCAGGTGCTCTCTTAAGCCACCTCATTCCACCCCTACCACCTGCTGTGAAAAGATTTTTTTTGCTCTTGCCAGGTGTGGGACGGACGCCAGGGGCAGAGGCAGGCGGATCTCTGTGAGTTCGAGGCCAGCCTACAAAGAGAGTCCCAGGACAGCCAGGGCTATGACACAGAGAAACTTCGTCTAAAAAAAAAAAAAAAAGGCTTTGCTCCTGGTCACAGCTGCCAGCACCCAGAAAGAGGAAAGAAAGAGGAAGTGACTGACAGACTGACAGCAAGGGTCTCTGTGCTCTTCCCACGGCCTCTCCCTGCTACCTCTGGTTCCCTGGGGACAGGGGTGCATGCTGCCTTAGAAGGGCTGGAATGCTTCTCCTCAGAGGATCTTGGTGTCAGGGGATTGGCAGTCAAGGACTTACAGTGCCCTCTTGGCTGCAGAGGGTCCCCCATGAGGAGAAGGGGTGGACCAGGGCTGGTGGCCCGGATAGAGATGAAAGCCTTGAATACAGCAATCCCTGCCCTCTGAGCTGATAGCTATTTTCTCCTTCAGCTCCCTCCCCTGTTCCCCCTTGCCTGGTGCTCAGTCCTACTGCTTTCGGGAGCTGCCAGCCTCCCCAACTCGACTCTGCGCTCACTCTGTGGCCAAGTAAGGAGGCAGTCTTCCAGGGGCTGGGCAGCCTTAGTGCCGTCTCAGTATAGACTGAGGGCTGCTCAGGATGATGTGGGATGAGCTTGGGAGCCTGGTGGGGCCTGATGCCCAGAAGGAAGGACTGTGCTTTCCTGGGTGCTAAATAGATGATAGACACAATGGTGAGCTGTCCAATCATGGCCACTGTGCTCTCAGGTGTGGGGACATGATCACTTGATGAGCTTAAAGAAACTGACTAGTTCACCCAGCTGGAAGCTGAGTAACTGGAATTCAAGCTCAGGGCTTTGCAAAGTTGGGGTCCCCGCCACAGCAGGGTCCTAGCTCTTTGGGCACACCAAGATCCTGGGTCTCGAAGCTGTCTTCATGCAGCCTGAGGGATCAGACTGGGTGGTTCCCAAGAGTGTGGGAGCACTGTCTCCTGAGCATCTCATGTGTCTTGGACACTGCAGCTGACCGGAACTGCCTCAGGGTAGAGGGGGAATGGCTCACATCTGTCTGCTGAGAGAAAAGCCTCAGGCTCCCACCTCAACCCTCCCCCCCCACTTCTGTGCCTCTCTGAACCTGTTTCCTCTTCTGAAAAGCTGCTCACATTGGTTTACTGCTCTGCAGATGCCAAAGCTTAGAAAGTAGGATCAGGAAGAATCCAGAGAGCACAGGTGTGCTTGTGCCCTCTGACCTAGCTCCAAGACGGATTCTTTCAGGAAAACTCTAGCTTGGTGTTCTAGAGCCCCACCATATGAAGGGCAGTGGTTTCTGGAAAGATTTAGACTTTTTCATTCCGGCCACTGTTGTTGTCGAAAAGAGGAGTGAATTCTGAAGTCCCCTCCTCTTTCCTTCTCTTCCTCCATCATCCCACTTGCAAAGCCAGAGAGACAGCAGGCTGAAGACCAACAGTGACCCAACATGGCTGTGTTTGGTCAGTCAACAAGCACTTTAAACACTCGTGTCTTAGTTTTCTCATCTGTACAACAGGATGGAGAGAGCTCTGGCACGTTTCGTCCAGAACCACAAGAAAGAACATCTGTATTAGAGGATCTACCACAGTCTCTGAGGTTCTCCATGCAGCTGTGAGCATGCATAGAACCTGGCTTTTCCAGAGCACCCATGCTGTCTACATGCCTATTGGCCCAGTAAACAAGGATGGGTTTTCTGGGATAGGCAGGGTCGCCACTGGGCCCCTTGAAACCATGTGTGATACTTCCTCCAACCAGGTCTCACTCTTGTCCCTCTTATCTTATTTCCTCTCCTTCTATCAGAGGAGGGGCCAGCTATCCTGATCTCAATCAATCAGCACACCCAAGCAGCAACTTCTGAGGCTGACAGCGGCTCTCTAGGAGGAACTGCAGAGAGGTAAGGCGTGCGGGTGCTGGGTGGTACAGACCTCCCATCTCATATGAGGGAACGAGCTCATCCCTGTGTTCTGGGGACTGGGGAAATGGGTCCTGCCTGGCCTGACCTTTGTGATCTTGGATGTGTACTTAATATTAATCACAATGGTATTGATACAACACCTGCTATATGTAAGTTCCTTTGTGTGTGTTTGTGTTATGTGCCTGTATGTGCATCTTTTGTGCATGCGTTATGTGTGTGCACGTGTGCATGCATGCATGTGTGTGTGTGTGTGTGTGTAAGCCAGAGGCCAACCCTAAATGTTCCTTAAAAAGACTTCCTTTTATTATTTTAAAGTGTGTGCCTAGGAATCAGGTAAATGTGTAAGTCAGATGTCAACCCTGCGTGAGGTCGCTTTGGAGCAGCCCACCTTAAAGATTTTTATTATTTTAAAGTGTGTGTGTGTGCGGACATGTGTGAATGCAGGTGCCTACAGAAGTCAGAGGAATTGGATCCCCTGGATTTGAATTATATAGGCAGTCATGAGCTGCCCAGCATGGGTACTAGGATTCAAACACTGGTGCCCTGGAAAGCAGTATGTGCTTTTCTATGGAGCCATCTCTCCAGTCCCTTACCTTGTCTTTTTGAGTTAAGGTGTCTGGAGCCTCTGTTTCATTGGCTAGTTTAGGCTGGCTGGTCAGTGGGGCCCCAGGAGCCACCTGTCTTTACCTCTCCAGCACTGAGATTACAAGCAAGTGCCACCATACCCTACTCTATACTTGGGTGCTGGGATCTAACTAAGGTTCTCACACTTGCATAGCAAGCATTTATATTTTCCTTGTTCGGCCACACCCTCTTTAAATTGTTCTCATTTTGTTGCTCCAATAGCCCTACAAGCTAAAGACTGTTAGGGTAGACACCCATGTTACAGAGGACATAGCCTCAGGAAGGCCACACTTGGCTTGCACTGGCAGAGGAGGGCAGCTGGGTGGGATGTTACTTCCTTGTCTTGCTCGTCCTCACCGATCCCGTGTTCATCCTATTGCCACGTCATACTGGCAACTCTGACACAGGCTTATCTCTTGCCCAGGCTGCAGGCTTATGGTTCCCGGGTGCCTGGCTCAGCCCTCCTTTCTTCCCCTTTGCCATGGCCAACATCACAGTGAAGCCGCTCTGTCCACTCTTGGAGGAGATGACCCAGTTTCCAAACCACAGCAACTCTAGCACCCGCTATATTGACCACGTGTCGGTGCTGTTACACGGGCTGGCTGCGCTGCTGGGCTTGGTGGAGAACGGGCTCATCCTGTTTGTGGTGGGCTGTCGCATGCGCCAGACGGTGGTCAGCACCTGGGTGCTGCACCTAGCGCTGTCCGACTTGCTAGCCTCCTCCTCCCTGCCTTTCTTCACCTACTACCTGGCGGTGGGCCACTCCTGGGAGCTGGGCACCGCCTTCTGCAAGCTGCACTCCTCGGTCTTCTTTCTCAACATGTTTGCCAGCGCCTTCCTGCTCAGCGCCATCAGCCTGGATCGCTGTCTGCAGGTGGTGAGGCCAGTGTGGGCACAGAACCACCGCACGGTGGCGGTGGCACACAGAGTCTGCCTGGTGCTCTGGGCTCTGGCGGTGCTCAACACAGTACCTTATTTCATGTTCAGGGACACCATCCCGCGGCTTGACGGCCGCATCATGTGCTATTACAACATGCTGCTCTTCAGTCCAGGGCCTGACCCTGACGCCACGTGCGACTATCGCCAGAAGGCCCTGGCTGTCAGCAAGTTCCTGCTGGCCTTCGTGGTGCCTCTGGCCATCATCGCCTCGAGCCACGTAGCCGTGAGCCTGCAACTGCGCCACCGCGGCCACCAGAGGACAGGCCGCTTCGTGCGCCTGGTGACCGCTGTCGTGGCGGCCTTTGTGCTCTGCTGGGGGCCCTACCATGTCTTCAGTCTGCTGGAGGCCCGTTCCCATTCTGTTACCTCGGTGAGGCAGCTCGTGTCACGTGGGTTCCCATTCGTCACCAGCCTGGTCTTCTTCAACAGCGTGGTCAACCCACTGCTCTATGTGTTCACCTGTCCCGACATGCTGCACAAGCTGAAGCGCTCGCTGCGCACTGTGCTTGAGAGCGTGCTGGTAGAGGACAGCGACCTGAGCGGTGGGTCGGGCAGCCGCCGCCGCCACGTTTCCTCCACCGCCACCTCAGCCTCCACTCTCCTGCCGGCTGACCGCCTTTCCACCCTACGACCTGGGCGCTTGATCCGCTGGATGAGGGGTGGTGGAGCAGAGGCCCCGCAGAGGGTCCAGGTGCAGTCCCAGGTGCTGAGCTCCACCTCGGATTAGAACCCCACAGCCTTGGATGGCACGCCAGCACACCCCTGGCCTCTCCTCATACCCCATTGAAAATGCACATTGCCAATGCCAGGCCCAGGTTGTAGCTCCCCTGGGTAAGGTCCAGCGAACCAGCTTGTGGAAGTGCCCTGGGTGACTGAATCTTGCGGAGCAAAGTGAATTGACGAAATTTTATCACTTTAATCTGAACACTTTAAGCTTGTGGTGTGGAGCTGGGAGATGAGCAGGGTGTGGAAGCAACCTTTAGAGGAGTTACCTAGTTTCTCACTGCTGGCTCCAGGCTTCTACACATTTAAGAACAAATGTACTCCAACTGCCTAGGGATCTTGATGAGGGCAGGGAAGATTTTGTACTTCCAATACCTTCCAGGCAGCTGTCCCAAGGACAACTGGGAGTCAGACAGGTTAAACTCACAGCCTGCTTATCATAAGGCACTGCTTTGTGGATGGGACAAAGGGAGATGTTCAATTAACAAGTGTAGGAGGGTCAGAGGAGGGTTGAGAACAGTTTCCAGCCAAACACCTTCACTCTTACGCCCCTGCTTGGCCTTTCATCACACATACCTTGCTGGCCAGCTCCTACTCAGATCTTTACTCCCCAGTCTCAGGGCTGCTGCTGCTAGAGGCTTCACTGTGGCCTTCTGCATCACCGGCTCAATTCTATCCAGAGCCAATACCCTCCAACCTCCCCAGCATTACTGCTGTCTCTGGGGACAGGGCCTGGCAGCTCTCACGTCCACCTGCAGGTGGGAGGGGCCCCCTTACCAGTCATGGACCTTCTACCACATTGCATCTAATGTCCTCTTTTGTGTGAACAGACTCCAGGGCAGCCAGCAATGGCTCACCTTTACATTCCAGGGGAAGCAGAGTGGATGTGGATGTAGAAGAGCCGGGATGAGAAATTTTCACATCTCCTGAACCACTCAAGGCTAAGCTGGTTGTTCAGTTCTTCAGTGCCAAGCAGGCTTCAAGCTCAGAGCAGGTGCTTCTCAAACTGGCTAGTAAAATGTCACCCTTAACCCCCTTCTGCTTTACTCAGAGCACAGCACACCTGTCACACCATGTATTTTAATTGTTTACTATGAGAATCCCCCATTGGGGGCAGGGACATCTATCTTTTTGGGAGCCCAGAGATGTACTTGTGCAGATATCAATAAGCAAACACTTCTGGTAGGAACAGCACAAGCCCCAAGACCTCTACAGTCTAGCATAGGAAAGGGATGCCAGAAAGGAACCCAGTTCCCCCAAACTTCCGACTTAAATCTCTGTCTAGGTTAGGAAAGGGCTGGCTCCAGGTGGCTGAGGGAATACAATGAGAATGCCCAAGCAGACAACATAGCACTGGGAAAACAGAAGTGCCGACTTTGGACAGTGGACCTCCAGGTATGGGCTAGACTCAAGACACCAAGAAAGGAAGTTAGCAGCTCACTGGGATCAAGAATTCATAGTTCAAAATCTTTTTTGTTGTTTTGCTTTTTACATCGTTTTTTGAGACAGGATTTCTTTGGGTAGCCCTGGCTGTCTTGGAACTTGCTCTGTAGACAGGCTGGCCTCAAACTCATGAGATCTGCCTGCCTCTGCCTCCTGAGCACTGGGATTAAAGGTGTGCACCACCACCCAGGTCAACAGCTCCTTTTTTTGTGTGAATAGCCTTGGTTGTCCTGGAACTTGCTCTGTAGACCAAACTGGTCTTGAATCTATTAATTCAAGATCTTAAGGCACTTTAGAAAGGAGATGGGGACAGTTAATCTCCTGCGTCCCTAAGAGGTCTTGGGTTCCCTCTGGCCTGGAAGTTCCTGTCTTAATGTGACACAGTTGGTTCGCTGGTCCCAGTAGAGGTATCTGACAGTGGCCTGAGAGGTGCCCTGTTTGCTGTGGCTCTTGGCTTATGGAGACCTCCAAGCTGTCCTGAGCTCAGACCTTGGCTACAGGCCTCTGGGGTGGCTGCTTCTGAAGCAAGGCCAGGGTGTCTCTCTTCTCAATGGAGCGCAGCTGCTTCTTCTTTGCCTTCTTGAGCTTCGCAGGGTTTCGGATCTGAGGATGGGGAAACAAGAGGCATCAGTGTGGCTGAGGACCCTGAGCCTGTCTCGGGAAAAGGAGGGCAGGGGCCTAGGACTGCAGCAGGACAGTGGACATGTAGGACAGGCAGCCCAAACTCCTTAAAGGCCTCTTTCACCTTGCCATAGACTGCATCTCTTGAGTGGGGGTACTCACCACTTGGACAATTTCAGCCTTGCGTTCATTCTCTAGGCGGCGCCTCAGGTTCTCAGCCCGGCGTTCTTTCTTCTCCTGAAACAATAGAAGAAAAACCTCAGGATAGAGCTGAGGTGGCCTTTGTCTCAGGCCGCTGGTTAGTGAGAACTGCCACAATCCTAGGGAAAGAAGCCTGCTTGGTGTCCGAGTTGCACCTCGTGGGGAAGGATGGAGGCCTAGGCACTTCTTGGGAAGATCAGGGATGAAACGCCTCTGTGGGCCTGGAGCTGAGGCAAGAGTATCCGGCTCCAAAATTAGAAAGAAGGTGGGTAAACAGACACCCGAGGACAGAGGCTTACACAAGATGACTATATGGGCCAAGAAGTGTTGCTTCCCACCCAAAAGTCACATGCAGGCAGAATGGCCCCTTGTGCCATCCCCTGCATGAGCTGTCAGGAAGAGAGCTGGGGTGGTCCTCTCCTTCACGCTACTTTCCGTTTCCTTCTCACCAGGCTCAGGTGTCCCCAAATGAGGATAAAGACTAGAATAAAGCTGGTTGAGTTGTCAAAGGTTCAGGAGGACTCTGGTCCAGCTTGAGTTTTCATTCTGCTACTTTATAACTAGGTTTTTGTGGCTGAGTCTATGCCTCTATTTCCTCACTTCTACAGTAAGGCTGACCACAGAACCTAACTCATCATACTGATCTGAAGAGTGTGTGACTAAGGCCTGAAACAGGACCAGCTCTCTGCGGACACTTAGAGCCTGTTTGAGGGGTGGGAAGTCCAAGGCTTCCTACCTATGCTGCTGTTTACTCCAGCAGGGCTAGGGAACAGATGGTTGTTCCAACATTGACTGCTACGTGGTCAGGGCCTCTCATGCAAAGCTTTGATAACCTGGGGTCCTGGCCCTTAGGGAGGAAGTGAACATTGTTCCTACATATTAGGAGTGCTGGAAGAATGCACTTCTCTAGTTGCTCATGAGATGGTAACTGTTTTGCCCAAGACGGAGCTAAGGCTGCACAGGAAAAGAGATAAGGCCTCAGTGACAGCTAGCCCTGGAGTGATGCAAAGCTAGGCAGAGGGATGTCTTAGTGAGTGACTGGCCCATCTTCCTCTCAGTGGCCAAGCTGGGACCACAGATCTGAGACAAGTCACCTGACTCTAGATCAGAGCTTCTCTGTACCCCAGGCTCACCAAACTAGCCACGACACTTGAACTTGGTCCTGGGGACAGTGCTGCTAACCAGCCCAGGACTTAGCTTAATCAGTACTGCCTGTTAAAGTGAAAGCAGGACTCTTTGCAAGGCTTCCTGCAGGCCAAAGGTGTTGGGAACAGCCTGTGGTGATGGTGATGGAACCCAAGGTCTTGTGCACGAAAGTCAAGTGATCTACCACTGAGCTATACCACTAGCTCACAAGCAAGAACCTTTAATGAGGACATTTTTGGTTCTGAGGTGGGGGCCAGTGGAGTAAATTGGAAGGAAAGTGCAGGGATCACCCATGGAGTGGTGTGTGGGAATCTCTTCTGGAATCACAGCACCAAATCTGAGGCAAGCTTTTTCCTCATAAGCAGGTCTCAGAGAGGTGGCAGACTCCACCACATTGAATGCTTCTGCCACCAAGATGGCTTGCTGGCCTTTATATTGGGTTCCCTGTTCTACTTCTAGGTTTCCTGCATGTTCCTGAGACAGAGGCTTAGCTGGATGGTGGAAATCCCATTATGGCCCTAGACTACTCTGGTCCCCTTCTCTCCAGCCAGGGCCCTCATACCCAGGGGCTCTGACTAAGCTGTATTCCTCCTCCAGCCCTGGTGCCTGCTGTAGCAGACATGTATTTGGCCTCTATGATCCAGACTTGGTTGGATGGCCCCTTACCTGCCGCCGCCTCTGCTTCTCCTCCTCCAGGTGCCGAGCGAACTCCTTAGCCAGCTTCCTCTCTTGTCGCTCCTTCATCTTCCGCTGCCACGAAGTATGCAGGGGCTTGTCCTGAACCATCTGGGAGAACCTTGGCAGTAGAGAAGGCACTTAGGGGACCTCTGTGGTGCTGCCTTCACAACCTGCTCTCCCTGACCTCTGGGTCTGCTTCCTGACTCCTCTTGCCTGCCTGGCACTCAGCTTTTTACAGAAACTTAGGATGGAACAGGCTCCCTAAGCATGTGGCTGTACCTCTGGAGGTTAGCTTGTGCTTTCCATTCTACAGAGTAACAAACTAAGACTTTGAGAGTCCTCTTGTTCCTAAGCGCAGGTCAGGACTTGAACCTTTCGGTACCCATATGCCTCAGCTGTGAAGTTTTACTGCCACCAAACCTGTGAGTGAATGCCTCTGGAGATGAGGTATTCACTCCTTAGAGGAGTGTGGCTTTGCTCCCAAACAGCAAGGACAAGGGGGATTTTCTGTAACAATTCTGATTCTTCCCCAGTTTGGGGGGGTGTGAGGTGGTGATGTGGGATTAGAGGAATTCTGAGAAGTATGGCTTTTCTAGAGAGAGACAAATGTTCTTCGAATCATGGAATAGAGATGACTTCTGTAAGAACACATGTAGGGTGTGCTGAAACATTCTAAAAGGAAGAAAGTGCAGGGACAAGGAACAGAAAATGAAACTAGGCCAGGAAATGCTGAAAACTGTTGAAACTGGTGATGGGTCTCATAAACTTAGCTCTTCTCTTTTCTGTACACTTCAAGAGTTTTAAGAAATAAAAAATAAAATAAAGATAAGCCTCCATGTCTGGGTTCTCCCCCATCACTTGCCAAGCCTGCTGGGTATCCCATGGGCTAGTTCTTTTCCCCTGTCTTATCCCTAG